AAAAAAAAAAAAAAAAAAAAAAAAAGACACAATGCTTATGAACAGGGGCTCTAAAACACACAAACTTTTAAAGATTTACAGAGCACCTATAATATAATGTATGTAGAATACTACTACTATGATACACACTTTGTCTTCACATAATATTCTCTTACATAGTTGTGTATAAACTGTATTTTCTGTAATAGACATAAACTTTAATGCCCATGGAAAAATCACATTATAAAAACTCTGAAGTGAATATTATAAAACGAATTTTCATTTAACAACAATCTCAATTTTATTTTGCAAATTTAGGTTTTTGTATGTTGGGTTTTTTCCAACTGGAACATAGCTCAATTTGCATTTGAATACGTTTAGTATTTTCAAAAACATGTCTATTCTTGTTTTATCCTCATAATCTCCCCATAAGGGACAACGGAGAGTGAAATAAATCTGATCTCTTTAAAAAAACAAAACAGTATTACAACAATTTTGTAATGAGAATCTACCATCTATGAGTAGACAGGAAATTTCCTAGAAGTATTTCTTTTTAAACTCTTGCTTACAAAAATTTTGTGTTATCTAATGTACTCCACAAAAACAGTATTCCCAACTTTAATGATTTTTGTTATATCTAGATACATAAGAATTTATATTCATACAGTCTACTAAATAGTACTTAAAGAAGCAGAGCCTCAGTGTCCAAATATCTGTAATTGGATACACAAAGTCTTCCAAAATTCTCTAACGTTAATTTAAATGCCTCATCATCAAATGAATGACTTTTAGCTTGTTACAGAAGCAAAAGTCTCAAAAGATTTTTAAAAAGTCTCTTTTATTTGCAGTTCCTGAAGATAATGGGGAAAAAACCAATCGCAACTGTTCCTAGTGAAATGTCTTACATTATTTTAACACACATACGGCAAACTTCTAAAATTTGACAACATATACGCACCAGAAATTGTTTTCTGTCCAAAAATATGGCCCAAATTTTAAAAGTTTTCACTTATAATACCAAGGCCTTATTCTGTCTCATTAGAATTTTAACAGATATTTAGAACATCAATAATAACAGATAATATGATTACTTAACCATCTCAAAACTCTGGGAAAAGAATCATTTATCCTTTCTAGGAACTAATGAATTATTAGTCTTGAGTTAGGATTAAATATAAAATTAATAAAAATTAAAATTAGCTGCATATCATATCAAACATAATATGAAGGCTAAAGCTGACTAGTATAAAAGTAAGTATTTCTGGGCTGGCCTGGTGGTGTAGTGGTTAAGTTTGCATGCTCCACTTTGGCGGCCTGGGGTTCACAGGTTCAGATCCTCTGCGTGGGGCTACACATTGCTTATTAAGCCATGCTGTGGCAGCGTCCCATATACAAAATAGAGGAAGACTGGCACAGATAGCTCAATGACAATCTTCCTCAAGCAAAAAGAGGAAGATCGGCAACTGATGTTAGCTCAGGGTCAATCTTCCTCACCAACAAAAAAGTAAATATTTCTAAAATATACAATGTTCCAACCAAAACAATATTTTAACAAATGACAAGTTAGAAAAAGCATCCAGTAAATCAGTGAAACATAAATTACTATTTTTAAATACTAAATTATTTGAAGGTGAAAACAAAAGATCAAGAATTGGTACCACTGCACTATACATACAGATATTTTTGGAAGATATCCCAACTTCGTTTTGCTAAGTCTCTGGAAATATTTTAGAACCACACTGTTATTTTATTTCCAAAGATCTTGGGAGAAAACTTCAGGAATATAATAGATACATTAGGAAAAAAAATACAAAGCAAAAATTAAATTTTCAAGTGTCCTAAAATATAACCCCTAAAATATAATACTTCTCAATCACCTCTTTAAAGTGCCAAAAACTTAAACGGCTTAAAACCATGTAGACAAAGTATATAGAGAGAGCTTTCTTCTAAGACAACCAAATTCACTATCACATACCATATACACAATGCAGTTTTGTGAGGACTAAATTAAAGACAGCTAGAATCATTCATTCAACTAGTATAAATTCCTTGAGGGCTGTGTCTTAATTTGATTTTGCATTCTTCATTTTCACTCAGTATGCTTAGTACTTTGTAGGCACATGTTAGTTGAACAGGTGAATGAAAACAAGAAGTACATGACAATACAAAAATATTATTTCACATTCTGAAAAACTTTCCAGTGTATTAATAATCTGATTTAACATGAAACAAATGAAATATCCAACAATGCCTAAATGTAGAACATACCTCAATTTGCATCTTCAGGTGTGTCTTGAAGTTTGACAACAAAGTAAGAAATATGGAAAGAGAAAGCTCAAAAACCTCCGGAACAGACGAGACTCCGTTTTTTGAGAGTGCAACACACAGATACTGCTTAATGGCATTAATAAACATCTCATTTGTCCTGAAAACAGGTCCTGCATTCTGCAGAATGGATAGAAGTAACTGCAATGAAAGAATCTTGGATCGTAACTCATGAGACCTAAAATATAAAAAAAAGAAGGTACAGTATATGGACAGGTTTAGCATTATGGCACTAACAGGTTGTTCCAAAGATAATTCCTGGACCCATATAATTTCACAAACTTTTAAATGGAGAGGAACAAAAAACTCCACAACATAAAAAAGTACAGTACATCAATAAGCTTAGCCACTAAAAATTGGTAGTTCCGCTTATGTTCTCTTGTACCACATAATTTCATAAACTTAAGTGGGAAAACAATCATTCACACATATTTAACATTAATCTACTGTTCCTTTGGACAAGAAAAATAATTTAAAGATTTATGCCTTGTTCTTTTCTTTCACAAGTGTATTCTGCATTTTAGAAATCACCATGAACTTCACAAATTAAGTGCCATTTTTAATATTTAACAGTTCCAAAGCACTTTTTGCCTAGTTATGCTACTCAAAAATCCTAAACACTAATAAAAAGTTCTGGTTGCAGGGCCAGCCCCGTGGCATAGTGGTTAAGTTCAGCTCACTCCGCTTCAGTGGTCCAGGTTCGCAGGTTCAGATCTTGGGCACAGACCTACACCACTTGTCAGCCACGCTGTGGGGGTGACTCATATACCAAATAGAGAAAGACTGGCACAGATATTAGCTCAGAGAAAATCTTCCTCACCAAAAAACCCCAAAAGTTTTGGTTGTATTAACAAGTTATAGCACTACTACAGGTTTACTTTTTCAGTAAACATTTAAAGTTTTTTTCCTTTTTGAAACACATACAAAGAGGCTTTTAGAACATTTATAACTCTTAATACCTTATCCGTTTATTCAACATTTTTATAAGTTAAAAAACACATTTTCAGCTTAAATTTAAAAATTTTTTTTCTGATCAATATGCTGTGCCATACTTCTGATCATTATCTAGCATTTTAATTAACAGATTTCACAAATACAATTTTTCTTACATTGAAATAAGCCTCTTAGGTCCAAAAGACCAAAGAGATTGAGTCCAGGCAATTTTCAAATGCAGGACACACTTAAATGCTCTAGCAACTGGTTCTTCTCTTTATTTATTAAAAATGCCATACTCAGTCACAGTTACACCATATAGTAACTTAATTGCTCCTAATTTCCACATTAAAAATGTTATGATTATAAGTGTCAAGTAATTCCAGGACCTAAGAATCTCTAACAAGGAATATTTAATTTCATGTAAAATGGAATTTACAGATTTACCATCTTTGAAACAAAACTGGACCCAATAATAACATGGCTCATTACTGCACAGTCATGTTTCCAGGATGGTTATGCCTCTGAATGTAAGAATATGTGCAGCAAATACAGTATTATGAAAAGAAATGCTTAGACAAATCAAGTTAGAAACAGTGAGAGGTAGGAAAATATGGAGTAGGCCAAGTCTCTCCCCTTCATGTTGACGCCTTTCAAGGCTTATGTACTGCTAATACTTTCTAGTCTAGCTCACATTTATCACACTTTTTGATTAAGTCATTTAGTAATTGATTTAGTAATTAAAACCTCCAGCTTACCATTCTCTAATACATGAGTTTTTGTTATAAGTATGTTTTATCTTTGTATCCCCAACAGCTAACAAAATGCCTTGTACATACTATGTGCTCAAACTAACTAATGGATTTATTCATGCATTCTTCTGATCATTTATTAAGTACCTACTATGTATAAGTCATTAACTAATGAAGAAATGATTAAATGATTGTTTTATGACACAATAAAGAATATTTTTTTGTGTGTGTAAGGAAGATCAGCACTGAGCTAACATCTGATGCCAATCCTCCTCTTTTTTTGCTGAGGAAGATTGGCTCTCAGCTAACATCCGTGCCCATCTTCCTCTACTTTATATGGGACGTCACCACAGCATGGCTCCACAAGCAGCGCGTCGGTGCGCGTCCGGGATCCGAACTGGCGAATCCCGGGCCGCCGCAGCAGAGCACGCACATTTAACCGCTTGCGCCACCGGGCCGGACCCTACAGAATATTTTTGATAGGCAAAAGAGGCTGGAAATTTCAGCTCTACAGTTTTTCATGTGGTAGTTTCAAATTATGATTCAAACTCAAAGAACATTTTCTGGATCATCGTCTTAGCAAGGGTACAAAATAAAAAATGAAGCAAAGACAAAAAACAAATTTATATAACTACAAAAAACATTAATTTTGGCAAAAAAATCATTCAAGATAGAAAACTACATATTCTCTTTTGGAAAAGAACAGTGTCTAGGGGTGGAAAATTTGATCTCTTTCAGTACTCAATTCCAATGACCATGATGGTCAAAGGTCTTTCTTATGTTCAAACAAAATTTCCTAATATTTGGTTTAAGCCCACTAAGTAGGAAGATAACAAATTTACATTATTTATCATAAGAATCCTTTGTAATATTAAACACTGCAGTTCTCCAAAACTAGATTAATCTTTTTTCACGGCTAAATGAACACCCTCCTCCCCATAGTGCTTCTCAAAACTCATCTATTTTCTTTTGTGTTGTTTTCATTCTTGGCATTTTTTTCCCATTTCACTGAGAAATATTTGACATACATCACTATATAAGTTAATAGCATACGGCATGATGGTTTGATTTACATATATTGTGAGATGATTATCGCAATAGGTTCAGCTAATATCCATCATCTCGTATAGATACAATATGAAGAAAAGAAAAACAATTTTCTCCTTGTGATGAGAACTCAGGATTTCCTCTCTTAACAACTTTCCTATACATCACACAGCAGTGTTAACCATAGTCATCATGCTGTACATTAGTGCTATTTATCTTATTTAGCGCTTATTTATCTAGTGCTTATTTATTTACCTAGTACTTATTTATTTTATGATTGGAAATTTGTACCTTTTGACCATCTTCCTCCAATGCCCCCCAACCCCACACCCTACCTCTGGTAACCGCATGTCTGATCACTTTTTCTGAGTTGGTTTGTTTTTTAAGATTCCACATATAAGCGAGATCACACAGTATTTGTTTTTCTCTGTATGACTTATTTCACTTAGCATAATGCCTTCAAAGTCCATCCATGTTGTTGTCAAGGGTAGCATTTCCTCATTTTTTATGGCTGAAAAATATTCCATTGTATACATATAGCACAATTTCTTTATCCATTCATCCATCGATAGACACTTATCCTGTTTCCTTATCTTGGCTATTGTAAACAATGCTGCAACAAACATGCAGGAACATATATCTTTTCAAATTAGTGTTTTCATTTTCTTCACATAGGTACCCAGAAGCGGAATTTCTGGATCATATGGTAGTTCTAGTTTTAATTTTTTGAGGAACCTCCACAGTTTTCCATGGTGGCTGCACCAATTTACATTCCCACCAACTGTGCACAGGGGTCCCTTTTTGCCACATCCTCACCAAAACTTATTTCTTATCTTTTTGATGATAGCCATTCTAACAAGCGTGAGGTGATATCTCATTGTGGTTTTGCTTTGCTTTCCCTCATGATCAACAATGTTGAACATCTTTTCATGTATCTGTTGGCCATCTATAAGTCTTCTTTGGAAAAATGTCTATTCAGATCTCCTGCCCATTTTTTAGTCTGATTTTTCTTTTTTTTTGCTATTGAGTTGAAGGAGTTCTTTATATATTTTGAATATTAGCCTCTTAACAGATATATGATTTGCAACTATTTTCTATTTAGGAGGTTGTCTTTTCATTTTTTTAATGGTTTCCTTTGCTGTACAGAAGCTTTTTAGTTTGATGCAATCTCACTTGTTTATTTTTGCTCTTGTTGCTTTTGCTTGTGGTGTCAGATTAAAAAAATCACTTCCAAGACCCTGTCAAGGCAATCATTGTCAAGGAGCTTACCTCCTATACTTTCCACCAGGAGTTTTATGGTTTCAAGGCGTATGTTCAAGTCTTTGAGTTAATTTTTGTGCATGGTGTAAGACAGTGGTCCAGTTTCATTCTTTTGAGTGTGGCTATCCAATTTTCCCAGCACCACTTATTGAAGAGACTGTCATTTCCCCACTGTATATTCTTGTCTGCTTTGTTGTAAATTAATTGACCATTTATGCATGGGTTTATTTCTGGGCTTTCTATTTTTTTTTTTTTTTAAAGATTTTATTTATTCAGTTTTTTTCCCCCCAAAGCCCCAGTAGATAGTTGTACGTCATAGGTTCACATCCTTCTAGTTGCTGTACGTGGGACTCGGCCTCGCGTTGGACGGAGAAGTGGTGCCTCGGGGCGCTCCCTGGATCCGAACCCAGGCCGCCAGCATCAGAGCGCGCACACTTAACCGCTAAGCCATGGAGCCGGCCCCATGGGCTTTCTATTCTGTTCCACTGATCTATGTGTCTGCTTTTATGCTTTTATGTTTTAATACCATACTGTTTTAATTACTATAGTTTTGTAATATAGTTTGAAATCAGGGATTGTGATACCTCCAGCTTTGTTGTTCTTTCTTAAGACAGCTTTGGCTACTTGGAGTCTTTTGTGGTTCCATACAAATTTTAGGATTGTTCGTTCTATTTCTGTGAAAAATACCATTGAAATTTTGATAAAGACTGCACTGAATTTATAGATGGCTTTGGGTAGTACTGACAATTAACAATAATAATTCTTCCAATCCATGAACATGATGAGATACCTTTCCATTTATTTGTGTCTTCTTCGATTTCTCTCATCAATGTCTTGTAGTTTTCAGAGTAGAGATTTTTCACTCCTTGGAGAAATTTATTGCTGAGTATTTTCTTGTTTTTGATGCTATTGTAAATGAGATCAATTTCTTTTTCTTTTTCATAAAATTCATTGTTAGTGTATAGAATTGTTACTGAATTTTGTATGTTAATTTTGTGTCTGACAACTTGACTGAATTTATTTATTAGATCTAACATTTTTTGGTTGAGCCTTCAGGATTTTCTAGATATAAAATCATGTCATCTGCAAATAGAGACAATTTTACTTCTTCCTTTCCAATTCTAACACCTTTTATTTCTTTTCTTGCCTGATTGCTCTAGCCAGGACTTCCAGTACTATACTGAAT